AAAAATATTGAATTTTACACACACAAATATTCGTGGTAGTTTGGTGCTACTGGGCCTCAAATATCGAGCCTGGAACCCATTAAGAATTTAAATTATAAAACAAACACACACAAAATAATCAAAAATATTGAATTTTACACACATAAATATTCATGATAGTTTGGTGCTACTAGGCCTCAAATTCGAGCCTGGAACCCATTAAGAATTTAAATTATAAAACAAACACACACAAAATAATCAAAAATATTAAATTTTACACACATAAATATTCATGATAGTTTGGTGCTACTGGGCCTCAAATATCGAGCCTGGAAGCCATTAAGAATATATATTTTGTTCAATTAAATAATAAACATACAATTAATGCTGTTGAATTTACAGTTGACGACACGGACACGCCGCCTATACATCCCGGCCCTTACTCTCGTGAGCTATTAGTGCTTCAGGGCGATCATAGGTCCGCCCATATATGGGAGGGAGAGTTACTGTCCCAGACTCTCCGCTCTAGGAGAGTGGACGACCTGTGGGATTTTCTGAGGCACAGAGATCTCCACGAGCATGTAGTCCATCGCCTTTCAGTTCGACAAGACAACACACATAACGTACTATTTGACCACGTTATATATAGACATAACGTAATATTTGACCACGCTATGCTTTGTGTGTTAAATGTTCCGACGGGTACGAAATAACTTTATGTTAGTTGGGCAGCCTTTTCAGTTCGACAAGACAACACACATAACGTACTATTTGACCACGCTATGCTTTGCGTGTTAAAGGTTCCGACAGGTACGAAACAACTTTATGTCATTTGGACAAGACAACACTTATATATAAAAAAACAAACATAATTAAAATTAAATTAATTAGCCTTATGATATTTCAATGTTGTTTCCAGTTCTTCCAAATATATAACTTTTTAAAATATCATTAGAAAAATTGAAATGGAAAAGTTCAACTCATAATTAACAAACATAATTTTATTTTATAAAACTTGCAACATAAACATAGCAACGTCCTATTACAACATAAACTAAGTGATAGTTAGGCATAATAGAAGAAGGACCACCAAGAGCTTGAGTACTTTTGCCACCCAAACCAGCCGAAGGGCATTTTCGACGGTCGTGTCCTGTTTGCGAGCATATACCATATCTGCGCGCATAAACGGTATCACTAACATCCATTTGATTTAGTATACGCATTCTCTTCTTCACCTGTATTCGGTGCAAATAGGACTTGTTACACACCATTTTAAATGGTTCAGGCGGCCAATAATACTCAGCACCCACTGGCTGCAACTGCCCACTATATGTGTTTATGTACTTCGAAACACTATATTGTTGATCAACATAGTTGGTTGCACCTAAACCAACTTGTTGAAAGCACTTGATGGCATGTGAGCAAGGCATGTGGTAGATGGACCATTTTCCATAAGAGCATAACCTTGTAGATTCATTTACAGTATGTACATTATTACCCCGATTTTGATGGATAGCGGCGCGAACTTCAAAACATTTCTTTCGTTATCATACTGCAAAAATGAATGCCAATGTGCTCGCCGTCTGTGTTTCTCAAATATCTTCATCGGCACTAGCATAAATTCAACACCCCTTTCCATCAATGACGTTGCAGCTGCAGACCTTTCAATAAACCTCTCCGCCATCTGCTTGAACGACATCCGCACCATGGCTGTGACATGCAATCCTCTTGCCGACTTCAATAACCAGTTGAAAGACTCTGACACATTTGTAGTAAGAGTTTTCCATCGTCTGCCACCATCCGCATGCAAAGTCCACTTTTCAGGGTCATGTCGCATTAACCAACGATAGGCTGCCTCGTCTTCTTGCCTGATATATTCCATGTGCCTCCAGAATTTATGTTGTTGGTGGTCTGTTGCTGCCATCCACATCAAATCATGCAGATCCTTGTTGGGATATGCCTTCTGAAAATTGGCTTTAAGGTGTCTAACACAGTAACGATGGTAGGCATAAGGTTCTTGCCATGTAGGCAAGTTCTCCACAGAACTTAAAATACCACCGTGCCGATCAGATATTAGACAGATACCGGAACGCTATTTGACAACGTGCTCTTTCAAGTGGTTCAAAAACAGAGTCCACGTCTCTTGGCTTTCATTGGCACAAATAGTAAAAGCTAGAGGAAATATCTGTCCATTAGCATCTATTGCCACGGCTATTCGTAGTTTCCATAGACATGAGTGCCGTCTACGGATATTACGGGCCGACAGTGCAAAAAACCATCAATCGCTGGTTTAAACGCCCAGAACACGTAATTGAATATATATTCTGGTTTACCCTGACTCCGCTCAAGCTTCCATTCAACAACCGTCCCGGGGTTAAACTGCTGCAGTGCAGCCATATACCTAGGCAGATCTGCAAATGACTTATCCCAGTTACCATAGACTATTTCAAACGCTCGTTTGCGCCTGAGATATGCCTTTCTTTTAGTAATGGTATGGCCATGTTCCTGGTAGACTACTATAATGCACTCTTTGATTTTATACCTTATGGACGCTTCGATGTGTGGAATAAGAACAAGAGAAATCAAGTCAATATCCAAGTTGAAGTGATTCCCGTTGAATGTGTCCATTTCGCATGTGTGGGTGGGAATGTATTTACCCACTTTCTACAGACCTGTCTTCTTCTTGCTCGCACGCAACATCCAATGACATGGCCAAAACCACCCGCGACAAAAAACCTTGTATACAACCGGACTTGACTCCCATACCGTCATCTCACGACACTCTTTTACGTTGTGCATTTTACAAGCCCTGCTTAGGCGCGCTTTATCAGGAAAAAGCATGCCCTTTGCCAGCACCGTTGGTCTAGACTCGTCCCACATTGCTGTCCGAATTTTATCAAAATCCCTTGTGAGAGCTTCCACATCCGGCGTGCTTGTCAAGTTATCAAGGTAAGGAATCTCCCTTGAATGAAACGGCACTTAGGACTCGTACACTCTTCGTCTAGGGGGGGGGAGGGGGTAGAGAATACTCTCTCGTCAAATCAGGTCCTTCCTTCTCATCCTCCTCATCACCATCCTCACGAGGAAAGGGTGTCTCGCCTCCAAATTCATCAGCATTGTTGTCGTAATCACTGTTCTCTTCCTCACTCTATGCATCTGCCAGATCCCGATTTAATACGCCGTCTTCGGGCAATTGAGTGAGTACATTTGGTTCAACTTGCTCGTTTTCACTGCACAATCAACAAAATAATAAGATACTAAATTTAATAAATACTTTCCATATAGCTGTATCACTTCACTTACAAGTCGTAATGTGATAAAATTCCATGATGTACATTTTCATTTAGGTGATGGCTCCCGGATGGACCACCATGATCCAACACACCAAAACTGTGCTTGGGTTCATAATTTCTAAAATTCGTATCCGGCCTGTACCCCCTGTTAAATATATGAGCATTAATACAAATTCAATACAACAAAAATGTACATCGTAAATATAAAGGAAAATTGAAGCTTACTACTCGTCTTGTGAATTATGTAAAGCAGGCGGGAATAAGTTTAAGTCAAGGAAAACTCTTTCATCCGGAACCTGTCCGGCATAAACTCCTCCAGAATAAGCACCCGATGACTGGGGGTTATCCGGAACCTGTCCCGCAACCTCATTGTTTAGAACTTCTTCGACCTTGACGTACATATCCATCATTTTGATTACAAGATATTCCCGGTATTCATCCGGAGTCCTCAGAAAATCCCTCAAACTTTCATCATTGTAGATGTTTAACTCCGAGTAAAAAGCAGCCCCTTGCGAAGTGACGGAATACGGATATCTTCCGGTTACTTTGAGTATCACTGAACGTTTCCTCACACCCATTTTTTTGCATAACAACGATATCAATTTATCGTACTCCATTGTAAGTGGTAATTTAATATGACCCTGTGGAGATAACTATACCTTACAGAGTTATTCTCCATCACAACCTCACGCCCCAATATAATGAAACTCTTATTCTACGCTCTTCAGACATTACGAAAAAAATGCTTAAGAATTTAACAACAAGAAAATATTGAATGGAAGTTGGAATTTTTTGTGAACGAATTTTCCTAAAATCCTAACCACTATATATAGGAAATGGCAAGTGGAAATTTTTTGACGTATAGCGTTCTTTAAATAGACGCTATACTAATTTACATTACTGTTATGTCAGTTAAATTATTGGTGGGTCCATAATCAATATATAACATTTTTTTAAACGCTATGTATAGCGTATAAAATCAACACGCTATGCTGTCACGTCAAATGGTCATCAGCATAGCGTATAAATAGAAGACGCTATACCCTAACGGAAAAAGTTACCGTTAAGGTATAGCATCTTCTATTTATACGCTATATATAAATATGTAATTTTTTTTACACCTATTAATGTACTTTGAGTCCAAAAACACAATATTTAGGTTCCGGACTCCTTGATAATGAATCCTGATTGACTGACACTAAAAGTTGATTAGGTGAAAGATGGAGGTGCGTGGCGCCGAGAGAACGGAGGTGATTACTAAACTCGTACTCCCTCGACCAATTGACTTGCCCAAAAGCCACCCCGACCCTATTTTTCTTCCAATTTACTACTGTCTCTTTCTATCTATAGAAAGTAGTATTACTCCACTCACCCAACCATGAACCACCCTTCCTATATATAACCCATTCCCCTTCTCAAAATAATGGTTTTGATGTAACAATTCATTTCCATCCTCACTAGTCACTACTGACGTGCTCTATTTTGTCCACTTTCAGCTGACGCCTATATTTTCGATTTAAAATTAAAATTTAGATATTCAAAAATTATATGAAAAGTACGAATAAGTTACAATTATTTCATGTTAATATGATAAAAAAAGTATTTTAATATATCAGTCAAACTTTACAAAATTTGACTTTCGTCAAGCAAAATATGTCATCTAAATGGAAAAGAAATGCCATATATTATAGCAGCAAAAAATGGTCATCTTGTTGACTTACACTTCTCTTTCCCATGTTCTCTCCTATGGAATTTTTCTCTTTCTTCGTTCATCAGAAATCGACGGCGAGGATCTCTCTGATCATCTTCTTCATCCTTTGATCAAGAAAAAAAGGATTTAGATGTGTGATGCTTTCCAATGATGCAGAATTCTATGCCCTATTTTGCACAGAACAGAAATTTCCAGCTATCTTTCTCTCTCTCATTAATTCAGTGATTCACTTCTCTTAAACACTCCTACTACTATTTAATGTTACTACAGTATTTTTCCTTTTCATTATCTCTGAAATACTAGTACAAAAATTCCTCTATTTTAAATTCCTTGAGATTTGTTTACGTAATCTCGGGAATCTTTAACCAATGCATTACCCATCCAGCTCATTCATATATGTTCTCCTAAACTTTTCTTTCCATATCAATGTACATATTCAAAAAAATACAATCGTTGATTGATCTCTTTCCATCCACTGTTGTAAACACTCTTCTCTTTGACTACCAAAATCAACTTCTGGGCTGGATTTTCAACAATGGGTTGTAGGAATTCGAAGCCAAAGGTATGCCAAAAATGCAAGACACACTATTCTCCAGTGCACCGAAGCTACTCTACGTATAAAAATCTTCCTATTGATACTAACACTAATGGTAGCTTTCGTCTGGTCTCTCTCACTTCCTCAACATTAGGATCTCTGAGGCTTGATCCACTGAACAATAGTATCAAAGATAATCATTCGTTGTTCGAAAAAGGTGGCAGCGATGAAGGGAAGATTTATGAAGAAGAGTTCGAAATGGGGTTGATTGAGGCAAAGATATGGTCCCAAATGATCAATGAGAAAATCTCCAAAGTGGTTCCTAAGACGCCCATTACAACTCCTCCTGGCGAGCCGGAGAGTGTCAATGTTTGGGAATTGATGAAAGATTTGGAAGATATTGATCCTCTTAAATCGCCTCATCATCTACGTAGCTTTTCTTTCCATGTCTTTCCAGATCCTTATGATCATCGGCTTACTCCCAGACTGAAATCGTCAAACTATGAAGTAAAAGAGTATAAATTGGTGCAACATGGTAAAGACAAACTGGTTGTTTACTTCACAAGCCTAAGAGGGGTAAGGAAAACATACGAGGACTGTTGTCATGTTCGGATGATTTTGAAGGGATTAGGTGTTAAGATTGACGAAAGAGATGTATCGATGCATGCATGGTTCAAGGACGAGTTGAGAGAGTTATTTGGAGAGGAATATAGTGGTAGGGGTTTGCCTAGGGTATTTCTGGGGAGAAAATACATTGGTGGGGTTGATGAAATATGCAGAATGCATGAAGATGGGCAGCTTGAGAAGGTAGTAGAAAGCTGCGAAAAGGCAGAAGATGGAGTTTGCGAGGCCTGTGGAGATATGAGGTTTGTGCCATGTGAAACATGCTATGGGAGTTGTAAAGTATATTATGAAGCAGAGTATGATGAAGAAGATGAGTGTGGCTTCCAACGATGCCCAGATTGTAATGAGAATGGACTAATACGATGTCCAGTTTGTTGTGATTAGATTTCATCAGTTTTATGGTGCTCTCAAGTTCAGGTGCTTGCTGTGGATTCTCACATGACCAGCTTTGTATTACATAGATAAAGATGGGCGGCCAAGGTTAGCCTAAACTAATAGGTACAAGCGAATCTAACGCGGTTTTTACGGGTTCAACGGAACCCATTGCTTTCCTCTCTATGTATACATATGCAAAAGAACTTAAAATATGTACATATAATAAGATCATACGCATTCTAAACCCAGAGACTCTAGATCTTGAACTCTCTGCTGATGGGCAAGGTTCAAGCACCAAAACTGAAACTGCCAATGGCTTTTGCAGCATTTGGCAGAAATCGGAGCCCAGTTTGTTTGATGGATTACGAAGCTGTACTAAGCAGAGGCAACTTGACAGTAGTTGAATCATCTGGATAATAAATACTAGTACCTTAAAGTAGTTCTGAGGATTTTAAACCAAATGAAAGTAACAATCTCTTCCCCCATTTTTCCCACTCTAATGTAGTCTGATCTTTCTCCGGACACCGCGGATAGCTGGAGCTTAGTGTTCCGGGCTGTCCTTTTCTTTTTAGGACTTGCAATTCTAGGCACAATCAAAGCAGTAGTGTGCTTACAACTCCACAATGAAGCAAGTTAACTTTGCCAATAGCACGTATCATTAAAGAATGACTAATACCAGCTTACTGAAAAACATGACATCGATTATCAACTTGCAATGCAGGCAAGCGTATTAGTTACTCCACATTGTACTTCCACGAGGAAAAGAAATCAAATCGATTGATTGCAAAATATCAACATGTTACCACAATGTATTAATCATATTTAGATCATGTAGCCCACTCTCATTTGAACACCGCAACTACTTTATCTAGCTAAAACTTTTAATATTCACATTCATGTAAAATCTTAGGTCTCCATGAAAAGCTTAAACCTTGGAACAACTCCATATTGGCAATGTTGCGTCAACCCTATTTACCTCTTTAGTCCATTTGCAGAGGAACTGTTTCTTTTTTTACACCATTATTACCCAAGTCAGCAGCCACCTTGGCAGCCTGATTCAGAGCATCTGAAACCCAAAGAGCTCCCTTGGAGAAGTAACTACTGTTAACCACAGTAGTTGCAGCAGCGACGGCTGTTTTCCCTGTAAAAGACACAGCGGACATGGTAAGTTCAGAAAGATGGTACTTCTCGTCCACGGATTTAACAGTCTCCATGCCAGACTGAATTCGATCAGTAAGCCCCACTCTCTTGCTGAGGTCTGCCACCTTTGCTGCTGCGGTGGATGAGACCTGATATGATTCATCAAATGCTTTGGCTTTGGTTAGCGCATCCTTACTTAGTTCATATCCCTTCACTATCATGGTTTCAACTACGTGCTGTGCCATGGTCACAGCTTCTCCAGGAGTTGAAACGAACTCATTTGTATGAGTGACCTGCTAGTTTACAGCATAATTTCAACAACAACATCAGGAAAGCTGCAGCATAAAGAAATCCCCTTGAAAGTGGAAATAGGGGAACAAAAAATAAAAGAAAGACTGTTTGGGAGGAGAAGTGGGTTGGTAAAGAAGTGCTTTGTTCTGACATCTCAACAGACATACTTCTGCCAATAGAGTTTATAGCTTTCCGAGTGAACTTTTCCCAAAACAATTAAAAAGAATCAACCTGATCTTTTGGAAACTAAATTATTGTGACAATACAGAAATACTTTTACCAAGACAAGGATAACAAAAGGAAATGAAGACCAGTAAAGCTTATACTCCCTTCGGTTCAATTTATGTGAACCTATTTCTTTTTTAATCCGTGCCAAAAAGAATGACCCCTTTCCATATCTAGAAACAATTTACCTTTATGCAATGATTTATAGTCACACAAAATATATGTACCTCATTTTACACCACAAATTCAAAAATCTTTTCTTTTATCTTAAACTTCGTGCTCAGTCAAATAGGTTCACATAAATTGAAACGGACGTAGTATTAACCAAGTATCCTCAGCTCTAGAGCTCAACGAAAAACTGCTATGCATGAGGAGATCAGTTCACAAACTGGATACTCTTTGCCGTGTGAGCTGTCTCCTCGCAGATAAGTCCTTAGGCGCTGTCTCCTATTACTTTAACCATGAATTATATAAAATTTATTTACATTTAACCTCATAGACAAGCAATAAGAGAGTTGATTGTCCAGAAAAAACAAGGCAATCTTTAATTAAAAAGGAGATCAAACGCAAAAAAACTACCGAATAGCTGCTTCCATTCTCCACCTTATCCCTAGAGTTATTCCAAGGATCATATTCATCTATTTGTGCTTCCAAGCGAGATACACGAACACATTGATCTAATATAGTGGATCCCTGAATCAACATGAACAAAGTTAAGAATTTATCTGACACATAATATCATGTATAAATTTAGTGAATGTATAGCAGCTAAGAAATAATTCTAGCACTTATATTCGATGTGCATATGTATAACTAAAAATAGAGAGAACAAGAAAAGGAAGAAGAAGAGCACAAGGATAGCACACAGAGCTATTTAAAAAGAATTTCCAGAGTTGCACAAGCTGTTAATTTATGTTCAGCTAGTAATCAAAAGGCTAGTACACTTACAAGTGGAGAAAAACGAGAGACAAATCTGAATTAGAAGTTCAAACAATATAAAGCAAATTGACGTCTAACTACTTAGGAATTATAAATACAAATACAGTATTTTTTTTGTTGACGCTTCTAAAAGAGGAGTTTAGCAAGCTACTGCTAGCTCCTATTTTGGTAGGTAATTGACTACCTCTCTCTGTTAAAACAGAGAATTTAAAAGCTTTGAAGGATATAGTAATAAGAAACCTAACAGACATCATTCCGAGATTTTACTGGTTAATTTTAACTTTTACAAAAGTTGCTGAAGACAGATCCTATTGATGTACATCTTGGTGGTATCAGAAGTATAAACTTGACCCAACGGCACGTAAACATGCAGCATTAAATATTTTACATAATTTGCCCCCAGGGCCTAGCTCAAGTGGCAAAGGGTGGTGGATTTGTGTCTTAGGTCACAAGTTCAAGCCCCCACACCATGCAAAGCAAAGCCTGGTATTTAAGTGGAGAAGGGTAGAGGGGCGGGCCCATTATCCACCGAGTTTCGAAGGCTGCGGTTGGTCCAAAGGATCGGCCCCAGACGGATTTCTCGGTCATCAAAAAAAAAAACAAAATATTTTACATAATTCACCTTGCAGTTTATTTCTGCTACATAGAACTATCCTAATAATGGAGTAAAGCAGAAACTTACAATATAGCAGTTTCAAGCGCATAAGAATCTTTGAACGTAACATAGGCTATAGAAGCATGTTCGCTCATCATGCAGCATTAAATATTTAACAAAATTCACCTTGCAGATTATTTCTGCAAAATAGGACTATCCTGACAATGGAGTAAAGCAGAAACTTACACTAAGTAATATAGCAGTTTCCAGCGCATAAGTATCTTTGAACGTAACATAGGCTATAGAAGCATATTCGCTCAATCTGCATTCAGTAAAGGCAACTATTAAAATCAGGAAAGGGTAAACATCGTCCAGTTTTTTGATACAACTAATTAATGAAAGCATCAAGCTATCTGTCTCTGTTCCTTTCTTTAAAGTTTAAACATTCTACTGACTAATAAAGTCTGGGATGCCTTATAGTGAGTATCAGGACATTGACAACATATCCTTCGCTGGACACAAGAGGCACATGCACATGGGTTTGCTAATATCGAACACTATCAGAGGCATGACCTTGTTCTATCTACTGCAAACGTCTCAGAAATTTCAACCATAATAGAAACACATACTCTCTTCGTGACATTTCGATATTCGATATATTCAGAAGAAGTAACAGGGGCAAAAAGTGGCAAGATGTGTCTTATTTGACATACTTCGTAAGACACAATTGCAGTAGGCCATGCAAACATAATAATATTGATTAGGTATTCAGCCAGTAACTCTTAAATTATAGAGACAAATTAAATCACCAAGAAAAAGTTTACAGCACCAACAATAATCAGCTCGAAATCACAACTATGCAGTAGCAGAAATTGCAGACTCAAAACGAATGAAAAGCTACCTGATGATCTCTACTTGTTCAATTTCACCACAGTGAGAGAAAAAATCATAGACATCTTTCTCCGTAGCTTTGGGAGAAAGACTTGTGACTTCCGCAGTGTAATGACCCAGATACATGGATATAGACACAGTTCAAACTCCCAAAATAAAGGTGAATTAACCTGATTAAATCAAGAATACAAATCATTGAGAGCTTCTGAAAGAACTGATATGAGCGAAACATAAAAGTTAAACAAAGTCCATTAATATCCATCACCACATTAATACTTGTTAATTCATGGGTAATGAAGGCCACATTTAAGGGAAGGAATACTGCAAATGCTAAACTTCCATATTTGCAGATACTAGTTTCCTACGAGTATTCGCAAATGCTGACTTTCAATATTGAATTTTAAGTGAAATATAAAAGTATTCGTCTGGAGGTACAATTTAAGTGAAATACTAGTTTTCCTACCATCATAAATCTTCAAGTTTTTTTCTAAGCAAGTTCATCGCCAAACACAACATCAACTTCCAAAAACTTTTAATCAAATTCAATTCAACTATTCCTTTTTCTTTTCAAAATTGTCCAAATGCCTACTAAACAATTTGACCTTGAAGAGAAATTCGGCGCTCTAACAAAAGCATAGATTTTCTAAATCTCATACAGTCATATTTACACGAAATATTCACGAAAGAAATCGGAAGGTGAAAAGTTCATAGAATTGGAGATAATGCATATTAGGGTAAAGCGAAGGGATTTCAGTACCAAGAATCCGTACCTTAAAAGGAGGAACGATTGAATTTACAAATGCATATAGAGTTGAATAAACAAACAGAAGAATATTTAATGGAATTGGAATTTACGCATTAAAAATGATACGAATCAGAATTTACCTAATAATGTGGTCAACGGAATGTAGCAAGGGCCAACTGTTTGCTTGCGAGTTGCGGCCTTTAAAAGGGCTCTACCTGTTGGCATCTCTGACGCACAAATGCAGCCGTGATGCAATCAACTCTTATACTACAGAAATTCTATACAGTAGTATACCTCTTGTATTTTAAAATAAAGCACTTATGTCCCTATATTATTTATGGATATATTCAATATAAATATTAACTTGAGTGATATTTTCATTTTGCTAAGGTGAATAATTAGGTTACAGTCCAAAAATTA